ATATTCTATCTATAATTTCTTTAGGTAGAACTAATACAAAAGTATATGATACTTTGTTTAAAATCTAAAAAATAATTATTTTTTTAATATCAATAGTTTTTTTTAATAGATTTTATCAAAGCTTTATATAATATAATACTTTATCACAGACACAATCAATACTACTAAATTATCAAAATAAGAAGAGTTAGATAAAAGTCATTAAAAGTACATAAATTATATAATATCTTATAAAAAAGCCTTTTAGAATCTTCATAGATATGAATTTGACTTTATATGTATTTATATGTGACTGATAGATTAAAAATTTAGCCAACAAGTTGGTCATATCTCCCACATGTTGGACACTTGTAATATAAGTTGGCCATGTCGTGCACATATAAGAAACTTATCTTGCAGGTTAGACACATATCTTGCAAGTTGGACATGCATTGAAGGTCGTATAGAATGTCATTACATAGCTCCTAGTTATATGGTATATATAGAAATAAGAGCAAGGCCTTTTTAATTTTTATTAATTTTTTATTTCTAATTTAGTTTCAAAAGTTTCTAGTTTCCTAATCTTTGCCATTAATCATTCTAATTTCTTCTTGAATATAAAAAATTACTTATTCTTTTTTTATCACCTTTCTTTGAAAAATATCTCATTTATTTACTTTACATTCCTTAAATTCTTATCATTCACATATTCCTATCAATTATTGTTGCATTTGGCCAAATTATAATGATGTTTTGAAATATGGTACATATTTTGAAATACAAAGTTGTTTACTCTTTACTACTATTCTTGTTAGCAATATAAAGTATAAATAAAATTAGCATCTTTAATCCTTCTATATTAAAATACATCTTAGCATATAATAGTATATTCCATTGGTTGGTCTTAATATCAAGTTTATAACCTATACGAATTTGATTTGATATCTTTTATTCTTTTAAGGATGCCTTTTGTCTACATTACTATTACAAACAATTCCTTTTCTTCTATAGGATTTTTTGGATTATAAGCTTGATAAAAAATTATCTTTTCATTTTTGATCCAATTAGGGATCATTTTTCTTGCCACATCATATTGTTTTTTATTGCATCTTTTTTTCATTTGAAGACATAATAATAAGTTTGATACTTCTTTTAGATCTAAAAAGAGGCAATATATTTGTTTTTTATGTAATTGAGCTTTTATTTCTATAATATCCTTACACTTTCTAGAATATTTCAATAAAAATTTGATGTTATTAAGATTATCAAACATCTTAGCTCAATTATTAATTTTAATTTGATGAAAAACTAAAAAATAATAATTTACTTTTAATCTAGGATCATAATTATTGTAGCTTATACTAATATGAACTTCAATACCTTGCCTTTCATCATCAAGATCTATAAATTTTATAAAAAAAAACTTACATCTGTTGTGCCTTTTAGAAGACCAATGTCTAAACTTTTGATTATTGCTCATTAGATTAAAAGATTTTATGTAGAATTTTTATCCTTAATGGTACATAAAAACTTCTATCACTAAGGCATAAGGTTTCTATCTTTAATATTGATGGATTAGCTTCAACACCAACACATGTTGGATCTTAAAATTATTCATAAATACTTTTTTTAAAAAATAACTTTTTTGATGATATTGGGTGTATTATTGTAGTCATTGACCTTACGGACAAATCATTCTTTCAAATCTAGGTTTTTTAAATTTATACTCCAAACAAATCTTAATGACTTAATTGATGTAAATCCTCAAAATTCCATATTTATTCCTTCTTTTTGTTTGTTTCAAATAACAGATTTTTAAAAGATTTTTTTTTTTAATAACATGAGACATTCTTTTGCAATTTTCATTCCAAACTATAAATGTCTATTTTTCAATATACAGAATAATGACGTCCAAATATTTTTTATTAAACAATCATTATTTAACATTGGCCAACTTAAGTATCTTAAAGCTATTTTTAAGAGTTTTTTATTTCTTCAAAATAATTTTAAAGAACACTTGAATTTGAGTTTCTTCTTGATAAACAAAAATGATATTAAATCCAATGATAATATCAAGTGTGGTGATTTTCATGTTCCTCTTCAAATTCATATTTAAAATAATACTATCTTTTTGGGATTAACATTAGAAGGTTAATTTTCAGATCTTTGATTACCTCCACTTCTTCTTTATCTTCTTCTCCTTCACTATCCAAAAGTGCAAGACAGAAAAAGTCAATTTTATCATCTAAATAAAGACCATTGATATTAAGTACCTCAAAGACTTTGCTAATAGTTTCTATCACATCCCTATCTTTTAAGCTCTAAAATAAAATTCATACTTCATTTGTATAAATCACATACAATATAGTTAGTATTGTATATTATTTTTATATTAAACCAATAATTAACTTATTATTAGCAATCTCTACCACTAAATTTTTACATTGATCATTCCTAATATTTTTAATTAAAACTTAGTGGTAGTAGTCTCTACTACTAAGTTAGCTTGATAGTGACCATTTTCCATCTATTTTTTTCTACCCATGTTTTTTGAAAAATAAAAAATACTCACAATTACATGATCAATTCTAATTTTTTCTATCCATTTATTACACTTATTTTTTATTGCCTATTTTTCTCATCCATTTTAAATTACTCTTTTTTCCTTGGTGGTAAAAAATGGTCACTTTTCTACCCATTTTCACCACATGTTTTTCTTTAGTACTAAATAAAAACATCATCCATATCCATTTCTAATTCTTTCCACCAATTTCTCTTTTGTAATGAAAAAATGGCCACTATCCATACTCATATTAATTTTTTTACACTTTTTTCCTAAACATTGTACCTTAATAGTGCCCATCACCACCCTACCCATATTTTTCCTTCTTGTAACATCACTATGCACTATAAGAAGGCACTACTTCTCTCATAGTGCTTTATATGGAATTCAACAAGCTGCCTCATTGCAAGCCACTACTACTACCACCACAAAACATAATTTTATGTAAAAGATCAACCACCTTGACATAGGTCTAGTGATCTCACTGCCCAAGGCATCTAGTGCTCAGGGCTAGGTGGCTAGGACCCATGCATCCCAACACCCTGATTGCATGGCCACCTATCCCATCACATCCCTTGCATTCCTGTGCAAGCACCATCACATTCTCCCTTGTATCCCACACACCCCATCTTTCCTCTTCTCTCCCACTCCCTTGCATTTCCAATGATTTCTGAAGCAACCAATATTAAATCTTGAGAGGTGACAACTGAGATATCTCAAGGCATTAAAATATAGTTCTACTTCGCCTTGAATTGTCTCATGTCCTTGTCTTGTTTCTCTTGTTCCTGTCCCCACATCCATCCCCCCCCCCCTCCCCCTCCCTTGTCCATATTTTCAATTCCTATCCAAAGCACTTTTGTGCTTGGTTTAACCTACTAGGATAAAAATAATCACCAGCTTGGTAAAATATTGTACAACCTTTAAAAGTTGCAATAATATTTTGTAACTATTTTATAATACATTTTCATCACAAAAATATCACTTTTATATTCAAGTATTAATCATTTAAAGATATATATATATATCCATTTTATCCATCTATGATATATATTTTATATTTAGATAAAAATAGGATAATTAAGTATTTAAAACCAATTTAAAGTATGACAAATATTTTAAATTAGGATTTCTTAAAATTAAAAAAAAATCATTATATGATTAAAAATTATTTTGTATATGAATATAAAATTTTAATTATTACTAATATCATTAATTCAAATAATTCAAATAATCAAGTATATATTTTATTATGTTTTTTATATGAAAATTTTAGTTTATGAATTTAAATGTTAAATTTTGTTCTTGATAACATTGCATCATAATTTCCTAAAAACTGATGAATAAATTGAAACAATCAACTCTGAATAAAATTTAACTATATCATATGGAATTATATACAGCTTTTTTTTATTTCATTTTTTTCAAACACTTGAATTAAGATGTGACAAAAAAATTAGCTTAGACAATAACTTAACTATCACATCACATGCTTGATATGCCATCTTCAAATTAATTATACATGTAATGAAAATAGTGTATTATTGTATTTTTTATATTTTTTATCACTATGCTTTTTGTATTTTTTGTTAAGTCCTTGCTTGATATGTTTATGTAAAACAAAGATACAAACAATTAGTACTTATTGGAAACCTAATTTTCTTATTAAAATATACTTTAATCCAAAACCATTAGGGTAAACATTTTTTTTATTTTTGGCACCAAAGGCATCAAATACATTTAAAGATATTTACAAAAAAAAACTAAGGCTATAGTGTCTATTGAACTTTAAATACTAGTTTATGAATACTTTTAAACCAAACCATGCAACAGTACAATTTTACAATGGTTATTGTTGTTTCACTGTTGTGTTCTCCATGTTCAGATTCTTATTCAAGTTTGTTCTTTAGGTAGTGGCTACTTGACCAGAATTACAGGCCACAAATCATGGAATTGAGCGAGAGAATGGATGAGATAAACAGTAATCACAAGTTTAACTCAAAGGTGGCAAGGAAGTGGAGGGACGGAAGAGAGAATATTGGAAAATTAACTTCCTTCTTTTCCTCAACAAGTTTTACATTAATGGGTCTCTTTCTTTCTTTCTCTTGTCTCTTTCTTTCTCAAATCCTCCAATTTTCTCTGTCCAATTTTACCCAATTTTCATGATCCAAAACCTGCTAACGTAAATCCTAATAAACCACTTTCAATTCTTTTAACAAATCTCATCTTAACATTTCTTCCATAAAAGGGGATTTTGGATGAAACACTCAGCATCGTGCTTCTCTGATGAGACATCCCCGTCATAGTAGCTAAAAATGCAATTACAGACCCTGTTAAATACAGAGAGAAAAGAAAAGAGGAACACAGGGAACGCGGGCAGACATCCATAATAATGTCACACTGAAAGATAAGAAAAAAAAAATCAAGCATTCTCAGCATCGCGCCCGCAGAACACCGCTTCTCAGCACGGGATTTCAATTCACATCTCTTCAATTCAAAAAGTAACTCATCTTAGATACAAGATTCATCCTTTTGAAGACCTTATATAATTGGCCATGGAGGGCGACAATTAGCATGGCTACACGCAGCCAGTGAATGATGTCACCTGATTTCCCAGTGCACGGGGGACATATTTATACAAAGACTGCCGCTTCTAATTTTGGTACTTCATGGAGGACTTTTCAAAGCCTATTGTGGGGAACTGCTTGGCAAATTCTTCAACTTCAGTTCTCAACTTTCCAATTTCTGCCTGGATCTCGGGATCAGTGTCCACAGCTGCCCTAAAGTCCTTCAACTTTGCACCTATAACCAGAATACAATGCGGAGTATTGATTCAGTTACAAACGGAAGGATTAATACATCAAAGATGTGTACAACCAGCACTTTCTCTGCCCGTCGTTTCAAAGAAAATAATAGTTAGTATAAGTCTCACCTGTGGACTTCTTGACCTTCACAGCGATTCCAACCGCTCGGTCAAAGAACTCAGCAACTTTCTCGAAATCTTCCTCTATGAAGCCTCTGCTTGTCAAAGCAGGGGTTCCTTTTCCAAGCAAAGAGTCCACTTCATGAGACCGTAGAATAAATTCACCCTCTCAAATGCCACAGACAATAATAACACAAACAGCAACCAACTAAGCAACTGCGATTAATAATTTACAAGATGTAATACATGAAATTCATCACCCTTTCATGTCACTAACCCTTCGAAGAACCTTTCATCGGTCAGTTCATCACCAAAATTGGATTGATCAAAAGATTACTTTTGCAACTTACCCATGCGAATGCCTCCAGGTACTAGAGCAGATACATCTCCAGGAACAGTGTTTTTGTTTGCCGCAATATGAGCAAGCTCCATCACTCGCTCCACTCTAGAGCCGTCCACACCCTAAAAAAATGAAAGATTTCGTTAATAACTATTCAATGTTCTTTCTTCGAAAGCTGCAATAGCATGAAATGATGTTATAGAGGGAATGCACAGGAAATACCTTGGGTTTGAGGTTCACTAACACCAAATGGTTCTCTGTTCCACCGGACACCAGCTCGTAACCTTGGCTCATCAAGGCCTACATGTTTTAAACCAATTGCATAAATCACCCACAAATTAATACCAAAAGGATAAAATACTTGTAAACGTTACTAGAGAAGTATCATCACCTAATTACTTTGTAGTACAACAAAATATACTACTGATCACACTGTTTCTTGTCAGGTATCACATAGCATGGCCTAAATGAAAAGACAACGACCTTGGCAAAACGTGCAGAGTTGCTCAGAACTTGTTCCTGGTACGCCTTGAACTCTGGCGTAGCTGCCTGTAACCACCCCAAAGAGCGATAAGATATCATTATACGCAGGTCCACGCCGCAGTCAAATCTTCCATCGACTACTTCCATCATAATTGAAAGCTAAATAAACGGACCTATAAGCCATTAAAAAAGGTGAAGTTTTGCATTTTGATTCGCTTAAACCTCTTTCCAATATCGATGAGTTATGCTCCTCGTTAAATGATCGCATGACGAAAGTTTACCTGTTTCAAGGCAACAGCAAGTCCTGCAATGGTGTGGTTGTGAGGACCCCCTTGTAGTCCTGGAAAAACAGCAGCATTAATTTTGTCTTCATAGTCGTAGAAAATCTGCACAGCAGGATGGATCAGAAACATTCAGCTGAAATGTAACCAACCTCCGCATACGCGAGACCAGCATCGCCCCTATGCTTTCGTTGGAGTGAAGACACGTTGCGTGGAACTTATCAATCACATGTATGGTTTTTAAAGCTTACTCCACAATAAAAACACATGTTGTAACTAAAAAAACGCACAACACTTCTAGTATCTGAAATACCTGTTCACCCTTCTTGTTTGTCTCCTTCAACCCTTTGCGGTAGAAGATCATGGCCCCCCGAGGGCCTCGAAGAGACTTGTGGGTAGTGGTAGTTACCACGTCCGCGAAGTCGAAGGGAGACGGGACGACGCCAGCGGCTACCAGGCCACTGATGTGGGCCATATCAGCAAGCAGAATAGCTTTTTGCTTGTCACAAACCTGCATGAGAAAGACAATTTGCAGATCACATATGAACTCGAAGGAGCAGGTACACAGTAGAGTATCGGATAGTTAACATTACACTGTAGAAACATACAAATGATGCAATTTCACATAATGCAAAGGCCGCAAACATCAAATTTAAACACACCTTGCGCATACGAGCATAGTCGTAATGGCGAGCATAGGCACTGGCACCAGCTACTATCAATTTTGGCCTGTAAAGAACTGCGCTTTTCTCCATCTGCAAATTTCCAAATTGATCTGTTAAATTAGACTCACAACTTCAACGCATGTTTAGGAAAAGGAGAGTGATCATAGCTAGAAACAATCCTCAAAATCACATCAAAAATATTATCCAAGGATATACATCAAAAGGATGTACATGCATAAGAGCATTATACAGGACCACAACTAATGGTTTGCAGTTAGTACCGTATCGTAGTCTATGTAACCTGTAGACTCGTCCAATCGGTATGGCATAGTCTCGAAGAAAATGGAAACCGCCGAGATTTTCTTCATGTCCGTCTGTTTACCATGTCAGACAACAGAGCCAGTAGATGTAAGGCAAGTGGAGAAAACATCAGCTATACATAAATAAATAAGCTATCTTTAGCAGCGGTACATAATAATTGACGCTCTGAGGCGAGTGGCAAAAGATGGTACAGGTAGAGTTTATTAGGAATCACACCTGATATCCATGAGACAAATGACCACCATGAGGAAGATCTAAGGCCATTATGCGCTCGTGTGGCTTTAAGAGAGCTGTGTAGACCTGAAAATTGGCTGGGGACCCAGAGAGAGACTGCACATTCACTGATCAACCGGTGTTGCGTATCAGCGCTGTATGCTTCTCTAAAAGTCGCAGGAACAACTTCAAGGACTAGGGCATGTAACAGCTAAGAGAAGAGGCCATGTGCAGAATAGACGTAAGCTAAATTGTGTACGCCAAGATGGAGATACCGACCTCCCCATTTCTCTGGATCGAGGCGGAAAGCTGCGAGAGCTCTTTTTTGACACAGTCTTTCAGCCATGTCAATGAACCTACATTTGTGTAGAGGTGTCAATATACCTAACTATTCATGAACAGAGCAAAAATCTCAATCAATAAAGGTTTATGAAAAAGAATACAGACAAGTTATATTTTAAAGAGAGAGAGGAAAATGAGAAACTACGCACTCGTTGCCACCGTAATAGCGAGCACCGGGGTAACCTTCACTGTACTTATTGGTCATGACTGAACCCACTGCCTGCATAACTGATACGGACGTAAAATTCTCTGACGGGATCAGCTCAAGTCCCTGGAAAGCGCAACGCAACTTAGAATTATCACCCAGCCCTAGATAAGTTCATTCAAATATCAATCATTACTCATCAACTGTCACTTGATACTCCAACATAAATACAAGACAAATTTTAGCTCAAATAAAGAGGGGTTACAAAAACACAGGAGCGGATGTTCATACCTTCCATTGACGATTCTTCTCGTGTTCAATGATGTCAGTGATCTCGGGATCAACCTCGGAGATGTCGGCATTGAGCTGCTTCGGCCACTGTTTCATACATGGTGCGAAATTAAGACAGCATGCTACAAGTTGAAACTCATGCAAGGATCAGCAAGAAAAAGAACAAAAAAGAACAAAACAAAAAGAAGGCAATAATCTGCTGTAACTTTAGAAGATTTTCAAGGCACGGGACGTCCTGCCAAGTGAAGTCATGACAACTCCATCAAAGACCACGCCTACGAACGAAAGACTGTTTCCAACACAGCAATAAACTACATCTGTAAGGTTTACAATCGACAGCAGAGGGTTCTGCCCAGATTCATTGGGGAGCCTCCAAGTGAACAATAACGGATATATTAAAAGCTGCCAATACATAAAAGACCTTTCCACCGCTCAACCTTGATCACTAGAGTGAAAATATTCGTAGACTCGATGTGATTGTGTTCGATGAAGCGATGCAACTCTAACAACTCAAAACGGTCACAGAATTTGAGCGCCAAGAAGTTTTCAAATTACTCAGATCTATCCCGCACCCGTCCTACTCATCTATCCAGTAGAAATGACTCAAACGCTTTTCCGGAGCTCGATCATCAAGTGCATGTAACCCATGCACCACGACAATTAATGAATTCAAACTCCAAATACACCGCACATTGCCATAATGGTGCAGATCCACTCGATCGATCCAACGGGTTATAAAATCTTCAACCACGATATATATATATATATCGAAATCATTCAGGAGATGTTGCTACCAAATGTTCACTCCACAATTATTATTTTTTAAAAAATAAAACAAAACGAACAGTGCAAACATGAAATCAGAATGAAGCCTTAACCTGCCAAAACGGCCAAACAAGTAATGGCGGCTAAATCTCACCGTTACATTCGACTTAGCCGAACTTGAGTACTCTGAAGCAACCGCAGTCTGCGATACGAACCAAAACAGAGCGATGTCGTCAACACACCCCAAGCATTCCTCTACCCACATTCAACCCATTGTACATAGAAATCGGCAACAAAGAACCTTACAACGAAAGAATCCAACGCTCTACAGAAGACCCGGCACCTTTACTCCGGCGCAATTATACTAAACTCACAAACAAAACAGTCTCACAAAGACATAACCAGAAAGAAAGAAAAAAACGGCAGAAACTAACATTACTAGAGAACCGGAAACCGGAGCAGGCGGCAGGAGGGGTTCGATGCAATGCGCGGTGCAGGTGCTGGCTCTGCGATCTAGCGAGGCGACGCATCGCTGTTGCAATGGCCATGGTGGTGGAATCCTCACAGCCTCCACCAACTGTGCACCTCTGGAAAGGCAAAACACAGCAACACACAACTTACGGGGACGTGAGACTTCAGAGAAGATTTAAAGAAATGGGTCTTTTCTGTGTGTGCCAATCCAGCGGGGAGAGTTGATTCGGCAGATCGGAATGCAAACGGGAACAATGCATTCGATTCATGTGAAGGCAAGAACGAAAGGTTCCTCGTGGACTTAGTCGAGAATTTGTCGCCGCTTGGCAAGCATGACGCCCAAGAGTCTTAGGTCTCCCAGGAATTGTCTTCCGTGTCTTCTGCGTCGGCCCCACGACAGTTCCTGGTGTAATCCCTCTGTTCCGAGAATGCATGCGGATGATAATTTCTCCTATTTAATGATATCCAACCGCATCCAGATATGCTTGTGCCGAAGAAACATTTGACGAGAGAAAAAGTAAAAAGTGTCATGAAAAGTCAAGAACGCAGCTTAATGCTGATGTATCACATTTTTGTGGATCCTTTTCAGCGAACAATTCAATGCAATAATTTCCATCACAATTCTAATAGTATGCAACCTTACATTTCAGGTGTATAAGCATGGGAGAGAGAACAAATTACATGTGTGAGCTTATCTTTTGTCTATTTTGAATAAATTGGTAACTAAAACAAAATAATTTTCTAATTCTTTTTTGTTGTATCTTTTCATAGAGAATCTATTTAAATATGTGATTATTATTTTTCTACATAAATTTTTTTTAAGAAATTGAAAGAATTTGACTTTGAGTTTTATAGATGTGTGAATTTTAAGTTGATCTCAAATTTGTCTAATATTCACCAAGTCCATTGAAATGTTATTCATACATTTTCACGTACATTCAGTTTCTCTTCTATATATATTTAATTTAGAAAAGTCTTTGAAATGTTTTTACCACAAAATTTGCATAACTTGTAAAACCCATAATTTCAAACACATGGTTTTTTATCTTTATTTTTATTTTTTATTTTATTTTGTGTATATGTGTTCCCTGATGTAGTAATAAGTGTCATGCCTCATCCAACAAATGCATCATTTCACTTTTTTTTCCATGTTGCATTGTTAAAAAAATCAAAAACAATTTGCTTCATGACAAATCTCAAAAACCAAAAGTGAAATTTCAGTCTCATGTTACATGGAGGAAAAAGGCAGAGTTTTGTTCAGAATAACAAGTATGATAAATTGTTATTCACAATCAATCAAGATACATACACACACACACACACACAAATTCTTATCCATTACAGTATGCAAATATCTTTTGATCTCCAACTCATGGGTTATCCTTTATCCAAAAATATACATGAGTGAGATTTTATTTTATTTTATTTTGTTCATTATTATTGCTAGCATTGGAAACTGGTCAAAAGTAGCCCTCAAAATTTGTGGCTATCCTTATTGGATATTATAAATTAAAAAAGAACATGATTGATATGCTTGATCATTTCTCTTGAGAATGCTTGGAGAGACACAAGAGTAGTTGGAAGTAATATGCACACACACACAAGAGTGAATAGAAGGAGAGAGAACTTCTTATCTATGTATTGATGTGGTTGTCTCTTGTATACAAAGAGAAGATAAACAATTTCTCTCCACTACATTCCAAACATTGTAGCTAATGTATTAACTGTAAACTACAATAACTAGCATGGAGAGAGCCAGCTACATTTAATGCTCTCAATAATTTCCATGCATATATCACCAATATACCATGCAGTAAATAATGAACAATTTTTCAAAGAACAGATTCTAGGTGTAGAATCCGGGAATTATGCACTTGAAGAAGTGGAATAATACTATTATTTGATGGAATACTATGTAAATCAAAAGCTTTTTCACTGCTAGGTTGCAACCTTGAACTTATAATGACCACTTATAACTAGTTCACTGACACACTATCTTATGCATTCCTAATTGTTCACCAAATTGTAATGACCTACTATGTATGAAGCATTAAATTAACAGCCACATCAGTAAGGAAGAATCAAACAAACTCTTGCACAAATTCCACACATTCATTCTATAGATTATGTTTAACTAATTTCCTTGTTCTGAGGTTTTGTACCACACCAATACCAAGTGAGAGCATTACAATGCTTTCATTAGCTTCTGTAGTGTATATAATATAATGTATCAATCAACACCTCTAGAAAAAGTATATTTTAATATGGACCAACACCAAATTCTTGCAGTTTATGAACTCCACAGAAGCATTTGAAATAGTAATGTTGATGCACATGATAGAGACACTAATTACCAGATTCATGTATATCCATTTCAAAATGAGGGTTCTGTTCAGTTCAGAATGCAGGAATAAAAATGGTGAAAGAAATCCTTGTCATCTGCTTGTCAGATATGCCATTGAGAAGCATCATTGGGCAATGACTCAATTCTGGGGGAGAACGTGTGAATGTACAGATATAATAGAGGATTAACTTTACAGATCTGCCCATATTTAATATTCTTCCTGTGGGCATATATCTAGTCTAATGCAAATCTAACTGCAAATCTTCTTCTTTATCTTTACATTTCATTTCTTAAAACACTATTCATATATATATATATATATATATATGTGTGTGTGTGTGTGTGTGTGTGTATACACACACACATTTTTTCTTTTTGTCGAAACTTTACATGTTTTTCTAGCCAATATGTACATATATAATACATACAATGAGCAAATTTTAATTTTTGAAAATAAAATAAACAAAAAATATAAAATAAAAAATATTATTTGTAAAAAAATCTCTTTTTACGCCTTTCCATTGTACTTTTTTCATTTTCTTGCTTTTAAGATTGTTATAGTTTTAAAATTTTAAATACAGATAAATGTATTTTTAACTAAAAACTAAAAGTAAAAACTTATATGCTTATTATAGATGGACCTTGTATAATTTAGTAGATATTATGTTTTTAATGCCAAAAACTAACAAATTCTTTGGACACTTAATCTTTCTAATTACAAATATCAATTATTACAAAAAAAAAAAAAAAAAGAAAAAAAAGAAAAAGAAAAAGAGACAATCACAAAATACCAAATTAATGTGCAAAGTAATATTGCTTGAATTAGTCATAATCTTGCTAACAATTACATTTTTGTGCTTTCTACTTCATGTATTTGTATATGTTTTAAAAAACCAAAAATTTATTTTTTCATTCTAATTAAACTAAATTTAGATATTCATACATCTTTACTTATTACAACAAATGTCAATTATGTTTAAAATCTTATAAATACAACCATTTGCAATATTCTCTAGTATCATGTTAAATCGAAATTGTTTTTTTCTACAAGATCTCAAAACCCTCTATAATACTAATAATAAAAAAATTAAACTACCATATTTTTCTAAATAGACCAATTGAAATAATAAAGACTCACATCACAACAGTAATAATTAATATACAAACACCATGAATAAAACAAAATCACTAAATTAAATTTTCATATTCAAAAAATACATCAATTCAATTTCATATCTTTTATGCTCTACTATAACAAATCCAATTTGATTGCACACTTCCTAAATTCTCTATTTAGATTTTTTTTTTCCTACAATCATATCATTTAAATGCTCTAAATATATGATCTTGAGATTTCTTACAAATTCAATTCAATTTCATTTCAGTTTGGTCAACCCATTTGAAGATTTTTGAAATACACGTAATAAAAAATTGCTTCTACCAAGTTCCACTTACAATCCAACTTCATTTTGTCTATTTATCATTCACAATGCTAGTTTCTATGCCTAGTCTCAGCACACATGGCGACTATCTTATTTATATTTTGTGTGCATTAAAGTAGACGAAGACAGAGCTTTTGAGGTTGCTGACCTTCATCGAACACACAAAGATCGGAACCTGTTTTGAAAGTTTGGCATTTCATTCTTGCCAAAACGCTGTTGGAAGCAGATGAATTCATTGTTCATGCACTGTCTGCTAAACATGGAGGCAGAGGAGTGGATGGGTGTTGCAGGAATGAGGCCCAACAACGCACTTCTCAACACTCAACACACGGTTTGCATCAGAATGAATCGAAGTGAATCGAAGTGTGTGATGTGAGTCAGAACCGCTCTGAAAACATCGCCGGGATGCCTCTTTTGCATTCCCACAGTAACGTCTCTCTGTGCATCTCGGGACCTGTGCCCTGATCGAGCCACAAAAATGTTCTCTGATTGCCATGTCTTCACTTCTGCCAGTGCCAATCAAAAACCACAACAAAAACAACAACAGCAGCAGGCATGTGTGAGAGGATGCGGTGATGCGTGTAGAATGGGTTGGGAGTGGAAAGATAGAATGAAGCACAGACGAATTGAATTGCATTGCATTGCAGGGCTGGAGAGACAGACGAGTGAGTTGGTTGAGGTTGGGGGCAGGCCACGGGGGTTGAGGTGTGCGAGAAGGAAGGCTCCCTCCTCCCATAGGGAATGGCGGAGAAGAGGGAGGGAGGAAGTAGAAGGACGAGGGAGGGAGGCGAGTGAAGGTATGTCTTTGAATAAACCCAAAGACTGCAGCAAAGTAAAGATATACTATTCCACGGGGGATGACACTTGGACCCATCCGGCATCCCACATGCCGGATACAACACCCTACAGTCTGACGTGGAAGGAAGCCCATTCATTCAACACTCTCCATCCGTGTTGTGTAGTGTGGTGGAACTGCGAATGTCTTTAGGCTCTACGATGTGTGCAACGTGCACTGTAAAGAGCTTAGTCGGGTGCTGTGCTCTGAGGCATGCCGCAGTTTGGCAGCTGGATCGAGTGGGAACGGAGAAGAAGATACAGAGCTGTGCAAAGAACTGTTAAATCAATTCCAACCATTTTTTATATTTATAATCTCTAATAGCAACTTCTAAATATTTTTAAAGCTTTATTGAATTAGAAAATTTGTAAGATATTTTAAAACCTGAGAAAAAGATTAGAAATATAATGTAGTTTTTTATTTTAATGAAAAAAAATTAGCAATTTAGTTTAATATTTAGAAATTTGATAGATTATATAATAATTTGAATTTATCATAAAATTACTAGAGAATTTTTTTTAAAAAATTCCAAGAATATGGTTTCTACTAATATAGGTTTTGATACACTCATTATTAATTAAAATTAATTGATTGAAATATTCTTCTTTAGAATTACAAATTACAGTCCATCCTCAATATATATTAACACTTTGGAGCAAAGAAACTTGTAACACTTTTGTGTTTTCAACACTTTAACAATCATTGAAGGTTGTATAGACAATATGTAATACTTACATAAATAAAAATTATGTGATTATAAAATTAAAGATAATATCGCTTGTATGAATAAAAAATAAAAATATATAAGATATGATTGTCATCATATATATAAGCATAATAGAAGTAGAAATCTAAATTTGCTTAATGAGATTCTTATCTATGCCAAGTTATTTTTTTTATAGTAAATAAATACTTTGAATAAGAGGTATAACATCAGTAGGGTTTTGTTTCAAAAATTATTTTAAGATCACCAATATAATTTCAGCATCCTTAAATCCTATTCTATCCACCATCCCATTACAAATTTACACATTATCAGCTTTTTCAATGGATTCATTGGTAGCTACATTTTTTTCATTAATCAAGCATATTTATAATTTCTTTCTTAGTAGATATATAAGGATTGTTAATTGATGAATTTATGCCCATTCATAGTAGATCAAGTTTCACTCACTTGAGATACCATTACCAATTGTTATAGTAAAGTTGTAACTTCTTGCAATTCTTTCTTTTGTATTGCTTCCTAAGCTTCTCTATCTCTCATAATTGCATCCTTTGCTTCCATATTATTAAAAATATTTTTTAAAAAAGTATGTGTATGTTCCCAATAATTCATGATTTTTTGATGTAATAATTTTAATGGATTAAACATTCTCTAGCTTTATCAAAGATTGACACACATTAATATCTTTGTTCTTATTTTTTATGAGAAAATTTATTTGGTATTGAATTAGTTACTTGCAATATTGAACTTTGAATGATTGAATAATTTCTACATCAATAGCTTGGAATCTACTTATAATATTTGGAAGCAAGAATTCAAGTTTAATCATCCTCAATTATGCACCTACATTAGGTACTTGATACCACAAACATACATATTTATCTAAAGAATAAGTATTAGATAGAAGATAAATGTAGGTAGATTTGATAATATCTTGTGGAAAAGCTTTTTAGAAACTTCATATATGTGTATTTTATTTTAGACGTGTTTGTAGTTAATTGGTAAGTTAGGAACTTGGCCAACAAGTTAGCCACATGTCTCTTGTGTTAGTAGTTTGTGGTACAAGTTAACCATGTGGTGCATGTATAGAAAACTTGTTTTACAAGTTAGATATGTGTCTTGCAAGTTGGACATGTATTGGAGGGCTTATAGAAAGTTGTCATATAGTTCTTAATGAAATAGTATATATGGAGGCAAACGTGAAACCTTTTTCATTCTTGTCAATGCCTTTCTAGTCCCTAGTCTTGTTTCAAGTCTCTCTAATTTTCTTGTCTTTAGTAATAGCCATTTTATTTTTAATATTTTCTTAATTTTGAGTTAATATCTACTCTTTTCAAGTGACAAAAGAATATATTGAGTTTTTATTTGTTTGAGATTCATCTCTTTGATACTTGGTGATCTGAGAAATTGTCAACCAATAGTAATACCTTAACTTTTTGATGATATTGGAGGATCTCTCTCTTTTTTATTGAAGTAAATTTAGAACTCTTCACTATTATAGACCTAAACTTCCAGCCTCTCTAAATCATTAAATTACAAATTTGTCACAACATCATAACATTGCTAAATCCTCAAATAATACAACACTTGAATACAAAGAGGCCAATACAAAAAAGCCTAAAGTTTAAATCTTGGAAAGATTGATGGAGTTTGTGACTAATAATGTTTGTGTGATGTGGAATGAATAATGTGTGAAGATACTTTGAGCTTTACACAATATTATAAATACCAACTACAATATAATCTGTACACGATGGACCTAATTTAATTTCATCCAAGTGAATTCATTAAATAAAAGGGAGCTCAATTTTTATAAAATCTATTAGCAATTAACAATGATTACTATACTTTTTGGATTTTTTTGGGATAACACATATGGAAGGTGAAATATAGCTACAAAAAGTATTTGCTCAATTATTGCTGGTAGATGATTCTCCATATAGTTAATACTAGTAACGAAGAGTTGGCTGTACACTAAAATATAAATGACAGTTCACTTACACCACTAAAATAAAAATAATAATAAATAATAAAAACCCTTTAGAATGAATTGTAGGAACATTTTGCATTTCTTGTACTACTCGCACGCACGGCCAACACCGTTTGGTCCGTCTTCAATGGTAGAACGATTGGGGCATCAAAGCAACACAGTTAACTGCTCGGTTTGTTCGACAACTTCAATAACCATTAATCCAATTCACATGAAAGTCAACTTTCAGATCGCACTTCGCCGTAGTGCACATCCACAAGCTAAAAAGGATAGCTTCTCACATACAACAATAACGCTTTGCACTGTAGGATTCAGACTGAGAATACAGAGAAAACGTCGGCAAATTCATTCTTCACGTAACACTACCACGAACCAGATGTGTTATATGTAGGTGATCAAGTTTCCCATTTCAATAGAGAGGGTGATAGATCCCATCCTCTAACTAGTACAAGATGACTAAGAGAATTTAAACAGCTGTGAACACCTTTTTGTTTCCTCCGTCGGAAGCGCCCATGGGGATCACTTTCAAGACGTTGAATCTCACCGTTTTCGAGAGAGGCCTGAAGAGTTGGGCAATGTATTAGATAACAGGGAGAGTCATTGTTATATCAAATTATCGGTATCACCCAAAGTGAACTCAAAACCCCAGGTAGTTCCATTACAAATAGAATCTACCCAGCTCCTATGATAGACTATGATATTCTTCCAAAAGTTGTAATAAAAAACTAACCTGCATTGGCCGATGATAACCTTGTCACCCTCTTTCACACGGAAGGCAGGGGAGACATGGGCAGCTAAGTTGGAATGCCTCTTCTCATACCTGCAAAAATAGAATTTAGGGTTTTGTGAACAAACAGGGACACCGCGTAAGAGTACCAAGACAATTGTCACATCATTGAATTAATGACATCTGACAATCTTCTCCAGAAGCTATGCCGCAAATTTTCTAGCAAGCGCCATCGCGGAAAAATTGTGCAAGCTGCATGAATTATGATAATATCACCTCTGGTATTTTCTCACGAAGTGGAGGTAATCTCGCCGGATGGTAATCGTGCGGGTCATTTTTGTGCAGTTCACAGTTCCAGTGAGAATGCGACCTCGGATGGAGACGTCTCCAGTGAATGGGCACTTCTTGTCGATATAAGTACCTACAGAAAAAATATGAAAAACAAAACTCGTTGAGCAAGGCGAACAAATAATAAAAACTATACATTTAAAATGCAGAAGTCGAAGAGTAAGCCTTCATATTCAAGGCACGGGCCTCAAACCATTCAATGGTCGCAGAAACCAAGCTCCACAATTTTGTATTTATGGCTAAATAAAAGAGAATCCAGGAAGGAGGCAGTATGTCTACATTCATACAGGAATAAGAAGTGGATCCGAATCCGACACAATCTGGATTAATATGCCACAATTTTTCTACAACCCTTGTACTATATGTGTGAGCTACAACGATAACATTTGATAAAAGACGACGTGATTTGAAACAGTAAAGTTCATAATCTGCTTGACATTACGTTAGTTGCTGAATCATTTAAACACATGAGTGAAAATCAAGTTGGCAGAGGCTTCAACGCCATGATTCTAAAATGAGATCCAGTAGATAATTCAAGCATTGCATGAACGAAGGGGCAGTGCATCATGGAACACTCCATGAGACTGAGTGAAGACACAACCAGGAAAATCAGTAGTACCAAGATGGGTTACAATGACAGAGTGTGCGTAAATAAAAACCAGTAGATGCCACGTACCCTCAATAGCTTCACGGGGAGTCTTAAATCCAAGACCTACATTCTTCCAGAATCGAGTACCGGCTTTCCCTGCTGCCTTTCCCTTCGCCGAAGCTTTTGTGCTGCAATAAAAATAAAAAAATAACACATCCTTATCAGAAAAATTAAGGCACGCAGAATCATAGCTTGTTGCGAGCAAACCGCAAGAATTAAACCAAAATCCATAACTACTCTCACACAAGCAAAGATAACAAAATTCCAATATCTTACCTGAGGAAGACCTTAGGCTGCTTCAGAAACGACTTCTCGGTCTGCAAACGAAGAAAAAGCACAGGCCCAAGACCATCAGGAAAAGCCCTCGTCGCCCGAACCACAAAACCCTAAATGCATCGAACACTACAGACTCTTTGAAAGAATTCCCAAAAGGCACAAGATAAATTCATAAGACCAGCTACGAAAACTTCAAAAAGCACCTGCTCCGCCATGGTGCTCGATCTGCTTAGACGAGTAACGAAGGCGAAGAGGGTGCAAGCGAAGGTGCAAAATTCGAAAGGGATTGACCGGGCGGGCTGTTGTTGCTCTTAGGGCTGTTCAGGACAGGTTTTAGGGCCGACCATTCTTCGCTAGAACATGACCTCCATTCTATTCAGAGCGCATTTCAAATGAAGCTGTCATCTCTTTATAAAGGGACCTTTTCACACGGACCCGATTTTGCAATCTCCAGCTGGTCGAGGATATTGAGGTCTGAGTTCGGCGGGTATCAATACTTGGCAACTGCAAAAGGCGTTAAGAGGACTATTTTATTTTTCTTTTACATTATCCTCTGTATTTCTCTCTGAAATGTAGATGGATACAAATTTTTCTTTTTCTTTTTCTTTTTCTTTTTAATAGGAAGTCTAAACACAAGCTTAGTGTAAGTAGAGAACCGTGATGGCGGCAAAGAATGAATATCAATAATTACACAAGAAAAAAACAAAAAAAATAAAAAACAGTCTATATGAATAGTCAGCATTCATTATGATCAACCTCCCAGAACCAAATAAATAATTGATTATATAATGTAGTTTAGTACACTACATGTCATATAGTATAGGTCATGCAAATTGTAGCTAACAAAATGGGTTGACTATAATCCAAAGTTGACTTTCACAAAGTTAACTATAACCCGAAATTGACTTTAATGAGATTGACTATACTTATATATGTGTATATATATATATATATATATATATAATGTATGGTCAATTTGATTTTTCAATATGACTATTAAAAAAATCACCTTATAAGTTTTTATTGTAAATGTGAATTTCCATTGATAACTTTAAAGAAGATTTCACATATTGAATCTACTAAATTTTAATTTTAATAATAAATTTAAATAAATTTGATAAAATTCTAAAACATCATATTATTTTTACAATTAACTTATATTAAAATAATGCTAAAACTTAAGAAATAAGTATTTTTAATTAAAATTTTGATCTTTCTATTAATATTTTTTTAAATTACATACTATAATTTTTTTTTATATAAAATTCATAAATACAAAGGCATGTAGAATATGTAATAGTATTTCTTAGGAGTTTATTTTTATTAATAGTTGATTTATTTATGTGACAAAGATATAAGAGCAAAAGTAAATAAATGAAAATAAAAGATAATTTAGAAATTATCTAAAATACAAGACAATATTTCTAAAAAAAAAAAAAAAAATAGAATTAAAATGAAGGTCTAAAATCCATCAAAGTAAGTTTCATTGCTTATATATGTATATACATATATATACACATTTGAACATGTTACAAAATATTATACTACCAAGATTTATTTTTCTTACAACACATATATACATATGTTACAAAATACATATAGAAGAATGTTAAAATGACACAGATTTTTGTAAAATTGACCTACTATCCTCATTCTCTATATTCCTAGCCCCTCATTCCTTGTCTTGACCTCCCCATCTCCATTCCTAGTGCCCATCTTCCATCCATGGACCTCTAACAGGGCACCCTCTAAGCCTTGGAATCTTGTTCATAGGACCCCACAAGACCACTATCAAACCATACATTAGCTTGAGATATGCCTCTCGTAGCAAACTTTGCATTCAATTGAGCTAGTATGCTTTACCAACACTCTTATTAGTTGTGTGCATAATACCTATTTAAAAAATAATAATATATATATATATATATATATATATATTATTTTATCTCATTGCAATATCCTTGTGATCATACACCACCATTGTCTTTTTTAAACTCCATCTTGTTTTAATTATAAGAATTAAGCTATGGCATCTTACATCGTATGCTAATCAATGGTCGCTACATTTGCCTTATCTATGTTCTCCATCATCAAGGCCACATCTGCCACATCAACATCGCAACTCTTCACTCTATTGAAACTCAAAGAATGTTTGTCTTGCATAACAAGGTAGTATGCATAGTGGATAATGTTTCTACTAAAGATACAAACTATTTCAATGTTGGAGCCATGGCCATCGATCAAATCAACTTGGCCTTCTCCATTTTCTTTTCATGCAAGGACTTATGCCCAAAGTGCAATGGTGCCTGATTTATTTGCAAGACAAGCTCCGCTTTGGATGCTAGTGTCACTTAGAAGGATCAAGCTTACATTGTCTACAAAAATTGCAATGGGTTAGACAAGGTGGATCAAATCGATAAGGCGGAGCACATCGTTGCCAATGGCAAGAAGAGGTTAGTGCTTGTACTTGTGCAATTCGTCAATTCCATAGCATTTGTAGAATGCATAGCCAATGTCTTGAAAGATTTTCAAGTCTCTATTACATAGCTTGACGTTATATAATCTCGTGACATAAAAATATATGTATATATATATATATATTCACATGTGTCTTTTGACTTGAGACCTTATTTGTTTGAATATCGATGTGCCTCATAATCTTCTCTTTGTTATATTGCCCCTTTGATTTCTTTCTCTACTCAATCTTTTACTGTTCAGTGTCGTTGCATATCTTTGTATATCCATTGCCTTTGAAGGATGGTGTTCATGCTCTCATAGCTTGTCCTTAAGAAATATGGCTTTTATTCTATTATCCATTCTTACCCAAGTCCAACTTCTTCATGACAATGCATTTTGAAAGCTGTATCAGAATAAGTCTGTAGAAATTTAAAAAGCCAACATATAGTTTGAAAGTGGCCTTGTAGGATCTCATCAGCGTGAATCCATGGACGGGAATGGACGTTGAGAATGGAAATAGGGAGGTTGAGACAGGGGATAAGGACCTGGGAACATGGAAAATGAAGATGGTGGGTCAATTCAACAAAAATCAAGGTCACTTTAATGTTCCCAATTATATATATATATATATATATATATGTATGTAAAGTAAGTAGCTTCAACAAGTTTTCATCAATCAATACTACATATTTTCATATTATTTATTTATCTTTAAGATATTCATATTCAACATGCATTATTAAAATAAACAAATAAAGTGCTGCAACCAATGAATATTTAAAGAACAATATGGTATCATTTGGACTTTACACTGCACCAACTTCCTCCAAACACTGAGCATAGAATATTATAAGTAAGTTTTTAAAAGTGTAAAAATATATTATACCACAGAGATAGCTGGCAGCCCATGCACTGCACTTGCAGTTCTTTGCACAGCTCTGTATCTTCTTCTCCGTTCCCACTCGATCCAGCTGCCAAACTGCGGCATGCCTCAGAGCACAGCACCCGACTAAGCTCTTTACAGTGCACGTTGCACACATCGTAGAGCCTAAAGACATTCGCAGTTCCACCACACTACACAACACGGATGGAGAGTGTTGAATGAATGGGCTTCCTTCCACGTCAGACTGTAGGGTGTTGTATCCGGCATGTGGGATGCCGGATGGGTCCAAGTGTCATCCCCCGTGGAATAGTATATCTTTACTTTGCTGCAGTCTTTGGGTTTATTCAAAGACATACCTTCACTCGCCTCCCTCCCTCGTCCTTCTACTTCCTCCCTCCCTCTTCTCCGCCATTCCCTATGGGAGGAGGGAGCCTTCCTTCTCGCACACCTCAACCCCCGTGGCCTGCCCCCAACCTCAACCAACTCACTCGTCTGTCTCTCCAGCCCTGCAATGCAATGCAATTCAATTCGTCTGTGCTTCATTCTATCTTTCCACTCCCAACCCATTCTACACGCATCACCGCATCCTCTCACACATGCCTGCTGCTGTTGTTGTTTTTGTTGTGGTTTTTGATTGGCACTGGCAGAAGTGAAGACATGGCAATCAGAGAACATTTTTGTGGCTCGATCAGGGCACAGGTCCCGAGATGCACAGAGAGACGTTACTGTGGGAATGCAAAAGAGGCATCCCGGCGATGTTTTCAGAGCGGTTCTGACTCACATCACACACTTCGATTCACTTCGATTCATTCTGATGCAAACCGTGTGTTGAGTGTTGAGAAGTGCGTTGTTGGGCCTCATTCCTGCAACACCCATCCACTCCTCTGCCTCCATGTTTAGCAGACAGTGCATGAACAATGAATTCATCTGCTTCCAACAGCGTTTTGGCAAGAATGAAATGCCAAACTTTCAAAACAGGTTCCGATCTTTGTGTGTTCGATGAAGGTCAGCAACCTCAAAAGCTCTGTCTTCGTCTACTTTAATGCACACAAAATATAAATAAGATAGTCGCCATGTGTGCTGAGACTAGGCATAGAAACTAGCATTGTGAATGATAAATAGACAAAATGAAGTTGGATTGTAAGTGGAACTTGGTAGAAGCAATTTTTTATTACGTGTATTTCAAAAATCTTCAAATGGGTTGACCAAACTGAAATGAAATTGAATTGAATTTGTAAGAAATCTCAAGATCATATATTTAGAGCATTTAAATGATATGATTGTAGGAAAAAAAAAATCTAAATAGAGAATTTAGGAAGTGTGCAATCAAATTGGATTTGTTATAGTAGAGCATAAAAGATATGAAATTGAATTGATGTATTTTTTGAATATGAAAATTTAATTTAGTGATTTTGTTTTATTCATGGTGTTTGTATATTAATTATTACTGTTGTGATGTGAGTCTTTATTATTTCAATTGGTCTATTTAGAAAAATATGGTAGTTTAATTTTTTTATTATTAGTATTATAGAGGGTTTTGAGATCTTGTAGAAAAAAACAATTTCGATTTAACATGATACTAGAGAATATTGCAAATGGTTGTATTTATAAGATTTTAAACATAATTGACATTTGTTGTAATAAGTAAAGATGTATGAATATCTAAATTTAGTTTAATTAGAATGAAAAAATAAATTTTTGGTTTTTTAAAACATATACAAATACATGAAGTAGAAAGCACAAAAATGTAATTGTTAGCAAGATTATGACTAATTCAAGCAATATTACTTTGCACATTAATTTGGTATTTTGTGATTGTCTCTTTTTCTTTTTCTTTTTTTTCTTTTTTTTTTTTTTTTTGTAATAATTGATATTTGTAATTAGAAAGATTAAGTGTCCAAAGAATTTGTTAGTTTTTGGCATTAAAAACATAATATCTACTAAATTATACAAGGTCCATCTATAATAAGCATATAAGTTTTTACTTTTAGTTTTTAGTTAAAAATACATTTATCTGTATTTAAAATTTTAAAACTATAACAATCTTAAAAGCAAGAAAATGAAAAAAGTACAATGGAAAGGCGTAAAAAGAGATTTTTTTACAAATAATATTTTTTATTTTATATTTTTTGTTTATTTTATTTTCAAAAATTAAAATTTGCTCATTGTATGTATTATATATGTATATATTGTCGATCCACAAAATCACTAATTGATTGAGATTATTAGCAGCATTCAAAATTATTGATTGGAACTATTTAAATTTAGTTCACTTTAAACCATTCTATGTCCTTGTCTTGTTCTTTTTGACTCTCTACCAACCCCTTGTTCTTGTTTCCAACCTCCATTTAAAGCACTTTTATGCTTGGTTTAACCTAATAAGATAGAAATAATCACCAACTTGGTAAAATATTGTACAACTTTTAAAGATGGTAATACTTTTTGGTAAATTTTCAAAAATATATTTTAATCACAAAAACATCTCTTCTATATACAAATATTAATAATTTAAGGTTATTTTAATGGTTATACAATCATTTAGCTTTCTATATGAGTTTTGTTTATATATGTTTGTGTATATATATATATATATATATATACATATGTATATAAACATATATACATATATTTTGTATAAAAAATCTATTAATAATCTTATAAAAATTTAAATGGCCATAAAATAATTAATATTTATTATTATAATTCTTATTAAAAATTATAAGCTAATTTTTATTTATTTATGATATAATTTTTAATTTATAGAAAATATAATAATCAAGTATTTAAAGCTAATATAAAGTGTGATAAATATTTTAATTTAGAATTTTTTTTAAAAAATAATTATATGATTAAAATTTATTAAGGTTAGGCCACATGGCTTCTAAGTCATATGGCTACTTCAACAAAAGCAACCAACCTAGATTATTGGGCCATAGCAATGATAATTTCTATTGGATGTTTATTCTGACATCTCTAATGATTATTTATATTTATTAATTTATGATTTTTTTTATAATAGTTGATATAAGTTAATACTAAAAATACTGAATAATCCAATGTAGATAATATTTATTTTTAGAATTAGATGCTTTAAATTAATTTTACTACATAATTATATATAAAAAATACATCTCATTTAAAGTTTCATTCTTTAGAAGGTTTATACTTGTTATTTATTCTTAGTTCTGATAATAAATTAAATTAAAAATTCTTAGAATACATAATAAATATTAATATTAACAAATAAACAACAAACAATTCTCATTGCAATAAATTAATTAGAAATCATCTATATATTAATCTCTAACATTGCATTTTCTTATATTAACATTTAAGTCCAAACTTCATTTTTTTATTTTTTATTGTAGTATTATATAAAATACTTTCTATCTAGTAAAAATATTTTCGATTAATAAAATTACATAATCTATGGTTAAATTATATTGCATACATGTTAAACTACCAAAGTAAAAATTAATTCCAAAACTAAATATCTTAGCAAATTAAAGATATATGACTTCCTATATAATACAAACTTAATATATAGATTTTTACAAAAAAAAAAAAAAAAAATTCTTTAATTGAAATTAGTAAAGAATATCTTTTTTAAAGTAATAGTTGAAAACAATGTGTTAAAAACAACAAAAGATCACCAACTATTTCTACAAATCTATTGCTTAGAACCATTCTAGAATATACAATACAAAAGTAGAAATTAGAGCAAGAAGTATAGCCATATATATTTTCTATATAAAAAATACATCCTATCTACATTATTGGCTCTACAAATAAAATATAATAAAAAAATCACTGTAAATTATATAATTTATTATTAAATAAATAAATTACAATTACAATAGAATTATAGGGCAAAAGAATCTTTAAATCTATAAGCACTCTTTGAAAGACTATAATTCAATACTTTGGTAAACATCCTCAAGACTCATATATTTTGTTTATGTATGGAAATAAAGAATAAGAATTAATCATCTATGGACAATTTCTATCAATTACATTCATTTTCTTTCTCTAACTTGTGTTGTCTCTTTTTAAATTGTCTTTAGTTATAAAGGACCTTGTTGCATATATTTAATGTTAAGAACCATTCTTGTCTTTTTTAACTTGTCATAAATTGCTTGTGAATTCTTGGCTTGGATTTGTGTGGTTTGAGCCACTAATTTCATTTTGTTCTATTTTGTTGTTTGATTGTTTCGTTGTTTGTTGGCTCTTATGCATTATATATTATGTTTGTCGGTTTTTCTTTACTAAGCTATGTATACCTCGTATAACTTAGATACCTAATATAACTCAATTTTTTTGAATTCTAGTTCTTCAACAAACCTTCTTTATACTATATTGTATGATATTTTTTTAATTATTGTCATACAACAATTAGAAATGAGTTATGCAACTCTCTTATATTTTCATTGCACAATACAACTTGTGAAGGTTTTACTTGGCCTTTATATAATTTTGATTTTGTATTTATTATTTTATTAATTCATATTGTTGATTGCATTTGCTCTTTGAGTAATTTTAGTATAAAGATAAAAAATACTATAGTTAAAGAACACCAATAAAAATAAAAAATAAACATATACAATAATTATTAGAACAAGTTTAAAGTGACATTTCAAAGATAATAACAATATATATAAAATAAAACTTGTAATCAATTATTTTAAAATAAGGATGACTAAATAATAAAAAATCAATAAAAAATAATGATATATACTTTAAAAATATAATTAATTAATTAAATTATAAAATTTTAGAAGTAATTATTAAATATAAAATTATTTATATCTAACTATGTATGTCTAATTATTTATATCTAAATATGTAATAATTAAATGTAAAATTCTTTAAATCTAATTTCTTTTTACTATCGTATACAATGTTCATTTTTGCATATGTATGTGTATTTTCTTAGTTATCGTTTTTGTTTTTTATATGTATTTAGTTTTATGTAGCATCAGTGGAATATGTTTGTGTGATTAATGAATACATTGTGATTCATTTTGGTGATGCATTATGGCAGACAACAATAGTCAGCAGTGGTGATACTGCGGTAGCAATAATCAAGAACAATATGTGGCATTCACATCAACAATATTGACAGTAGAGATTCTTGTTCAATTCCAGATTTTTTTTTGTCAGAAAGTGTCTTCTCTACAGAAAAAATATTTCATTCTTTAATACACAAGAATCAGTCCAATGTTCCAGACAGAGTTCTCCCGAGGCCAGAGTGACGTGGCGATGATGACGTGGCCAGCAGTCCTTTCCCAGCGCCACAATTTTAACGACCGGCTGAAAACCCAACTCGCTGCACGTCACAACTGGTATTTGTGGTCGTGTAGGTGTGGCGAGGTAGGGACTAGCCGAACCTACTAGCCGATCCTATCCACTCTCAGGTCTGCTCGCCGAGGCTGAGACGCTCTTCCCCCTCCACGACGCAGGCGAGCCTCGCAGCAGCTCCAGCAAATCCATCAACGTCGCAAGGTAACTTTGTTGGTGTGATTCGAGGTCGCACGAGAGTATTTGCATTCTGCACTTGATTGTCGGTTTTCAGAATTGCGTAGGATTGTGTTTGGTAGCCGATGGAGACTACGATGATGGCGCTTGCGCCGGGGGCGTCCAGCTTCTGCGTTGCGGGGGGCGCGACGAAGCAAAGGGCCGCAGTGGGCACACATCAGACGTCGTTCATGGTGGGAAGCGGCAGTGCGGCGTTGAAATCGTGCTCGAAAGCGGGATTGGAGGAGCACGCGAACAGGAGAGATGTATCTGTGAGCGTGCGGGCCAAAGGGAGGCGCAACGCTGGTATCCCTGGACGGCAACCCAACCGCCAGCAGATGCCTTCGATGCCCGCCATGGAAGACGACGGCAACCCCAAGTTTGTTTTGTTCATCCGAACCTTGAACGTAAGCATTTGTTGTTCAGAATTGCTGAGAGTTACTAGTAAATCGTGTTGAATGATGTCCATACAGCTGCTATTTCTTACTCCACATCCCCATGTTTGCGAGAGTTTAGCTTGTGCTGTTGCTCCGTAAGTCCATAAACACCATTGTGATTAGGGTTTTCTGCATTCAATTTTATTAGACTGACGTGCTTGGAGGTAATCATAGCGCAGGAGCTTTTGGTGAACCTAGACTACTTTACGCAACTTAGCGACCACCGGCCTGGACTTGATGTTGTTAAGTTAGGGTGATGGTTATGGAGTCTCGAGTGGTGTTGACACAAATATGAAGCACAGAAACGGTGTGTCGTGAGTCATTGATTGATTCTTGTTGGGAATGTTGCAGGTCCCAAGGTGGTATCCATTGAGCGTGGTGACCGGAGGAACCACAGCAAAAATGATGGTTGGAGCCATGAAGAATGACTGGGGAAAGAAGCTGTATGAAGGCACTTTGACCCGGAACATCGCTGGTGTCATTTACAAGGTAAAAGTTCCCTCACGTCTATGGCAGTATACACTGGTGTATGAGGTTACCAATTGGTGTAGATCCACTTGTACTCTATTTTGGCAAATTTCTGTTTATTCATTTCAGTAAACTGGATTGTGTGGAAACTAACATAAATTGAAATTTGTAGTGGCCCTACAAGTCTTCTCATGAATTCCATGATAGCTGCCTAGGACTTGGGCGATGGGTATGCTCTTACTAGATTCGTTAACATACTTTTTGACTTTGTGCCGATTTAGCTAGTATGACTGACTCTAAGGGGCTGCTGTTGTATTCTAGGATGAAAAGAAAATTATACAGACAGCCATCAAGCAATACCCTGTATTGAAGTCCGCTACTGGGTTTCAATATGGTTACAAGATCATGGTACATGTCTCCACACTCTGCCGGTGAAGGTGAATGCTGAGTGTTTTTTGTACGCTGCCGTGCACAACACCTTTCTATGTTCTAACATTCTTCATTGACTTCTCACAGGACCCTGAAAAACCCCAGTCAGCCATGTTTTCCTCGGATGTCGTCACAGTAAGTTTTCATCCGTCTAAGGACACTTTTTGTGCTTTTCTTTTCTGTGATCATGTTTTCCATGTTTATATAGTCATTTATCACTGTGTCTAACATTTACAGCAACTTGAAATTGGGTACTAAAATCTCGATGTCTGCAGATCCCTCCACAAGAAGAGCTTAACTCCGTAGTGGACAAAGTGAAGGGCTTCTTCAGCAAAGTTGGGGAGTCATTTGGCAGCATTGGTAGTCTACCAGCCGGTTCACAAGATCAAGCTGGACAGTCGAAGGACAACAAGTAGATCAGGTCGTAAGAGAGACATGTTTCTTAGCTGTAACGAGAAGATTTTGATTTTCGTCAAAGACATGTTGAATAGAAAGAAGCTGATGACTTCCCTGCGAGCCTTGTATGACCTAAAATTGTATTGTATCTTAGATGCATAGTTTTTCTTTGGCAACTTTTTTCTGAGGGGACAATAGTTGCGTGACGCGTGATTATGTAGGCGTAGTGACGAAATTATGCGGTATGTTTCAATCTGTTGCCAAAAAGCAGCAATGTGTCAGTGTTCCTGCATTAGATGGAGATCAATTATTTCCCAAAATAAGAGTCTTCAAGGCTCTGACGTGTGCTATAAGCAATATAGGCTCTGCTCAAATGCCAGTAGTACATGCTTTATCTTTTGACGTAGAAGTGATATGTACTCTCTGAATCTGGTCGCTGCATCAGGCGCATTCTACTTACAATATCACATAGTTTCTGGGCTAAGCATGAATTCTCAATTGATTATTTTAGAGGTTTATTATGTATCTGAAACAGCTTATGGGCTTAAGGTTTGTTACACATGAGTCATCGAGTTAATTTTTTAATTACTTTTCCAGAACATATGTTTGATTGTAATTACACGATAAAATATAGGTAGATGTTCTACATAGGCAGTTTATCAAATTGAATTCATTGTTTAGATACATATATCCAATGCATTAGTTGAGTGGGAAAAGTACAACCAACTACTTATACTCTAAGGCAATGTTAAGAGTACTAAAAACATGGAAAGCTACCAGAGCGAGTTCATTTATACTTTTGTATAAGATTACACCACTTAGATTAAACTAAATTATTTGGTCTATTCTAAAATCTAATATTTGTTTTGCGATCCATCACTCATTTCATTTCTTAAAAAGAGAAGTTCATGTAACATGTGGTTTGTTAATTTCTTTTAGATAAATTTTGAGCTAATTTGTCTACATTTGATTACACCTTTCAATACTAGGATTCTATATTAGAGAATATAGTGATTTTTTTTTTTAAGTCATATTTGTTTCTTTGGCAAAGATCCTTTAGCAAAGACCAAATCTTACAAAAACATTTGAATTTAGAAGAAAGTGTTTTAGCAAAAATAATATGTTGTCAAGAAAATGTTTTCCAACAACCCCACTTCCATGGATTTGATGTTAATTTATGTAGAAGAGAAGTGACCCAATTCCACATGTAACAAACTTGATGATAGTGCCAAAAACAATGAAGAATAGAATTGAGATTGCCACATAACACAATGAGTATTAATATTATGGCTGATTTTTTTTCCTGTAAGTGTTAATTGCAACACCTTTGTATCAAATAAACCAAATAAATATTGCATCTTTAAGGGAATGGAGATTGGACCATATAACCAATTTTAATATGATAAAGACTGTTTAAATGGAAAATTATTGCTTGATGGAATTGTAAATAAATACAATTAAAAAAAATAAAGATTTTACTATAAAAAATAATTCCATACATCATGAAAGAAAATAGGAAGATTAAATCAAAATGATTTATATCTATATATATATATATATATATATGTGTGTGTGTGTGTGTGTGTGTGTATGTGTCTATACTTTTCTAATTTATTTCAAATTTTAGATCCAATACTTTATTTTTAATTTGAGATTAGTAATCAAATCAAATCTAGTTTCCAAGTCTAATAAGCATCTATTAATCAAAATCTAAAAAAATGTTGAATATTTACCTAACTTGATTGAAGTGCAACTATCAACCATATGGATGGGAGTGCTTTGGTGTCATCTTCTAGATTAATGATGCAAAGACCATCTTCATCATGATTCTTGCAACAAAGTGATCAACATTAATTGCCATAGCCTTGTTGGAGAAATACTTTGATATTATGACTTTCATTAAGTTAGTACTACATAACAAACTTGGTTGTAAACAATATCATTGTGAAAATCAGACTTGATTTATTTTCTCCACTTCAATTTGCTACACCACAAAACTTGAAGAAGAGATTTTTTTGTCAAGTAAAAGATAAAACATCTAAATATCACAAGTCAAGCTATTTTTCTTACTACAAAGAAAGAAACTAAGAGTAAAAGTGTGTAGAAAAAACTCTAAGCTTTAGTCAATTTCTAAATCACTATATCTAAGCAAAATCCTATAATAAAAAGTCCTTTCTCTTAAAAAAATCTCACAAGACTTGACTTGACAAAGAATGTTAAGTTAAGAGAGATTTTGCACCAAAATCTCTTAAGTCCTTCTTGACACTAACAAGGCCAAGTAATATAAGATATTAAATAGATGAATATTTTTTAAATTAAAATATACTATATAAATTTATATAGTCTATGAACTACATCTATTAGACATGGTTTTGCATCCAATGCCACATTATGTGATTGATTCATGAAGATAGCTTTGTTGGTATTTTGATCTTGGTGGCACATCAATAGTCTATTTATTTTATTATTTTTTAAATTAAAAATTATTCTTCATATAATATTTTAAAAAAAAATTCTAAAGAAAGTTTGAAGTAGTTTAATAATATGTATGTTAGATGCCTATGCCCATCTAAATTGGTTTATCTATGCTAATTTTTCTTGATTTTTAAATTATCTACAGACAATAGATTTGGATCAATTAATTTTAAGACTTAAAGCTAAGCTGAAATGCTTTATGGTACATGCTAAATAGAATACTTTATCTTCTCTTTTTTAATAGTAATTTGTAGATTTATCATCATATTGGCTAATAACTTATTAATTAAGGCTCCAAATGGAATGAACATCTTGTAGATGTTTTTTGGATTGCATATTAAATACCAATATTAAGTATTTTTTAAACCAAAATAAAGAAATAAGGTTCCTAACGATATCCTTGTCTTTTACCTCATTTTGTTAAAAAATAATTTATAAAAATCTTATTAATGTCTATAATTTTGCTTATATTTTAAATATTAATATTAACTATATATAAAAAAGAATTTTTTAAGTTAAGTTTGAAAAAAGCTCAACATACAAAATCCTAAGAGATTTTTTCATAAGCTTTGTAAAAGTAAATTTTGAAAAGAAGAACAAGTGATTTTAATATCTTGGCCTAATTTATGGTCTCTTAGGTCACTACTATATTACCTAAGATAAACCTTAAAGAGAAGAATACAATTTGATTATAATAAATAACTTCTTTGAGAACTACTTAGATTTTTTTTATTGCTTTAGTATAAATTTGATAAGAGATTTTTAGTAGGATGATGGACCTTTGATTGTTCAATTTGATTTTTTCTTTACTTTTATATTAAATAAGAGCATGTTCTACAATAAAGAATGTAATATTGGTTTGTACTTAAAACTTAGTTAATCATAGAAATATAGTCTTTATTCATAATATACTTAAAGATCTAGAAAAATCCAACACTTGTAGTGTTTGGGCCAAATATGATAGGCCTTCAACCATGTCTTTAATAACTTCAATTTTATGCATACTAAAAGACTTAAATAAGTCTTAGTCATAATCTTTGTGACTTACATGGCATATTATTAAGCATAAAAATAGTGATTTTTTTAAGATTTGTTTTGTAAAGATTAAAATAAAAGCTAAAATATATATTTTTTAGATCTTATGGATCTCTTTGAAGCTTTATTTAGATATTTTAATTTTTTTTTAATGGTAGGCATAAGATAAAAAATATTGATTAGTATATAAATAATTTTTTTCAATACTATCTTCAATTTGTTTTTATTTAATTTGACTACTTATTGATATTTTTTTAATTTTTAAGTTAATTGAGAAAAACTTGTACTTATTAAAGACAAGCTTTAAAGCTAATATCTTAAAAATTAGCTTAAAAAGCAACATGTATATTTTATAATTTTTCATATAATTTAATATAATATTTAGTTTATAAAAGAGCTTGTTTTTACAAAATTACTTATAATATTAAATAAAAATTTCTATAGAATAGATGAAAGATCTTTTATTATAGTATTGAGTCCAAATTCTTGTAACTCCATAATGATCTCTATGTTTATTTTTTTTAAAAAAAACATTTACTTTAAAATTTAAGAGGATTTAGGTTTAGATTTTTATAATTAAAACTCAAATCGAATAAAAACTTGATTGAAGAGAATAAAATCACTTCTTATTCAATAGCCTTAAAATTTACCTATTTACAAAGAAGAAGAATCAATATAAAATCTATTTAACTTGGAAAATACATGAATCCCATCTCTTTTATTGTCGTAAAAATAATTTAAATGGTTATTATTCTTAAAGGAGTTTGCAAGAAAAAAGTGAGTTTTAAAAAATTCTAATTATTTTCATCATATCTTATGAAAATTCTCCTACAAAAATATGTTTGTATTGAAAAAATTCTATAATATTTTAATTACCTCCAAAAATATTAAAATTACTAAATGATAATAATTTTATAAATCTAATAATATTCAATTATATTTTTAGTATTTATTAGAAGTATAAGTATTAATAATATTAATAGAATTATTAAAATTATTAGTGATACTGATCCAATTATTTTTGTTAAGTACCAAAGCATCAATGCTATTGATAAAATTTTCAATGGATATAGAGACAATGATGCAAATAATTTTTTACTTATTCCATTAGAATTATTGCCATAGCTTGGATCAGCTTTCAAAATAAAAATAAAAAATTTCATTAGGCCAAATCGTCTTTTGTGAATCTTAAGCCATAAATCCATATAATTTATGTTATTTTATAAGAAGAATAACACATTTTACAGTTATGCTTTATATATAATTTTTTAGTTTGAATACTTATAAAAGATTTTTTAATCTATTTACATTAAAAAAATATTTACTTTAATAAAGATGATTGAAATAAAAAAATACTTTTTATATCAATTATTATGAGTGTTTTTATTTTTATTTTTTTTGAGATTTTAGGATTTTTAGAAATCCAAGGAATCTTAGGCATTTATTGATTTAAGATAGAAATTTTCTTTTGTGCCTTCTTTTCATACTTAAAAACTTTAAAGTTCATAAGAATTTAAAATTATCTCTTATTTAATAAAAGTATGTTGAAATATCCTCTATCTTGCCTAATTATTTTGTTGCATTAAGGAATAAAAAGAAAATATGTTATCCAAGATTTGAATCTTTTTTAGCCGTCAATACTTTGAGCCTTTGATTTGCAAGAGAAACTATACTAAGTGTAGAGCATGGATATGTTACTTGGATCTAATTGCCATGAAAGTAATACCATATTCAAACTTTGGAATTTACAATGTTTCTTCCTTATGATAAATTTGCACCTTCTTAGGATCTAGTTTAGTAATTAGCCACATGCTTGGTTTCTTCTACTATTTAAGTTGTGTTTGCCATTTCAATGCACCATTGAGTTTCAACTACAATTGGCATTAATTTTGAAGCAAATAATTCATTACCATCCATTAAAAACAATTGTGGTTTAGTTGGCCTAAGATGTGGGATTCTTTTAATATATGTTGG